CACTGAATGTATGATTTTAAACTGCTGCCCACAGTGTAAACTACTGATGACAGCTGCATACAAACGAGGGGTCAAAGTTCATATGGTGGCACCAATGTTGTCCAAACACAAGACCAACACCAGCTTCTACACAATCAAGTAAGTGGAGTCAGTCACCACTAGGTAGATGTGTGAAGTCAGTCGCCACTAGGTAGATGTGTGGAGTCAGTCACACTAGGTAGATGTGTGGAGTCAGTCACCACTTGGTAGATGTGTGGAGTCAGCCACCACTAGGTAGATGTGTCGAGTCAGTCGCCACTAGGTAGATGTGTGGAGTCAGTCACCACTAGGTAGATGTGTGGAGTCAGTCACCACTAGGTAGATGTGTGGAGTCAGTCACCACTAGGTAGGTATGTAATGTGTGGGGTCATAAATGTTCCATGACAAAAAAGCTTTTTTAAAGCTTCATGAGTGAGTTCGTTTAAAGCTTTATATCTGTTAAAACTAAATGTTCTATATCTTTTCTCCAAAATTTAGATTGGCCTGTTCTGTTATTCATTTGGCCATTAATTTAGTAATTTCAGCCCCATTATACTGACTTCTTCAAAAACAAATTATAGCAGCGAAACACATTAATCTGTGATTATTATGTCCTTTTTTTACCAGAACAGACAAAATAGTGTGGCATATAGAATGGAACTTTGTAGCATCAAAAACTTTGGTCAAGGATGAAAAGTAAGTCAGTGGTCATTTAATGCAGAATACCATCATTTTAGACTGGTTAGTTAAACTGTTAGTTTGAGAATTGACACAATCGGCCATGTAACTGTCTAATCTAGACTTTAGGCACATGTAACTGTCTAATCTAGACTTTGGGCACATGTAACTGTCTAATCTAGTGACCACATGTAACTGTCTAATCTAGACTTTGAGCACATGTAACTGTCTAATCTAGACTTTGGGCACATGTAACTGTCTAATCTAGACTTTAGTATGTAACTGTCTAATCTAGACTTTGGGCACATGTAACTGTCTAATCTAGTGACCACATGTAATTGTCTAATCTCGACTTTGGGCACATGTAACTGTCTAATCTAGACTTTGGGCACATGTAACTGTCTAATCTAGACTTTGGGCACATGTAACTGTCTAATCTAGACTTTGGGCACATGTAACTGTCTAATCTAGACTTTAGTATGTAACTGTCTAATCTAGACTTTGGGCACATGTAACTGTCTAATCTAGTGACCACATGTAACTGTCTAATCTAGACTTTGGGCACATGTAACTGTCAAATCTAGACTTTAGGCACATGTAACTGTCTAATCTAGACTTTGGGCACATGTAACTGTCTAATCTAGACTTTGGGCACATGTAACTGTCTAATCTAGTGACCACATGTAACTGTCTAATCTAGACTTTGGGCACATGTAACTGTCTAATCTAGACTTGTTACTGTCTGTTGTGGGCCAGTCATAAAAAAGATGCCTGCCATTTGTCTGTTACTGTCTGTTGTGGGCCAGTCAGAAAAAAGATGCCTGCCATTTGTCTGTTACTGTCTGTTGTGGGCCAGTCATAAAAAAGATGCCTGCCATTTGTCTGTTACTGTCTGTTGTGGGCCAGTCATAAAAAAGATGCCTGCCATTTGTCTGTTACTGTCTGTTGTGGGCCAGTCATAAAAAAAGATGCCTGCCATTTGTCTGTTACTGTCTGTTGTGGGCCAGTCATAAAAAAGATGCCTGCCATTTGTCTGTTACTGTCTGTTGTGGGCCAGTCATACAAAAGATGCCTGCCATCTGTCTGTCGCCAGAGTGCCAGAGGATACCCCACTGATGGACGCGGCCAAAAAGTTTGTCAACTTTGTAGAGCACCCAGAGCTGAGGAAACCTCTGGAGGAATACAAGAAGGAAAATCTAGAACGTTCCAGGTTTTTGCTGAGGGTGGATGGTCTACCTGCCAATAGAACCAGGTAATTATTTACGGTGACAGCCTACATGCCAATAGAACCAGGTAATTATTTACGGTGACAGCCTACATACAAATAGAACCAGGTAATTATTTGAGTATATGTGGGGGCAGATCTGATCAATTTTTCAAGCTTTTATTTGACCAAGGCAAAAAATAGCAAAATATATACAGAAAAAGGATAATTAAGTAATTAATTAGAGTATTAAATAGTCTTTTAAGAGCAAATTTGACAAATCCTGACAAGGGTGGGGGGGGGGGGGGGGGTGACACCATAACGTTAACCTGCTAATGATAGAGAAAACATGCTACATCAAGCTGTAGGCCTATTTATAAGCAACTATAGATAAAAATCATTAGTGTTATATCTGAACACAGTTTAAAGGTATCAGTGGGGGGGGGGGGGGGGGTTGAGTGATGTAAACCTGCTAATGATAGAGAAAACATATGATAGAGTGGGGGGAAGTTACATTAACTCAACATTACAAGATATGCCTGAGGTAAAAGGTTTGGTTGAGAATCAGAGAATCATAATAACTTATGTGTTAATCCATGTATGGGGAGGGGGGAGGTAAAAAAAATACATTAAAAAATATATATGAATACATATACACATGCATATATACATACTCTTTTATATATATATAAATATTTTTATATATAAAGCAAAGTGGTCGGGTGCCCGATATATACATACATATATATGTACATATATTATGATATATATATATATATATATACATATGTATATATACACACACACACATATATATATATATAATTATTTTACGAGGAGGGGGGTGACATCATTAAGTGCAGTACCGGGTGACACCTGACCTCGCTACACCACTATCTGTGTGTTAGTCTTTTTACCTATTTATTATTACTTTTTTCCATGGGTTCAAACTGAGCAAAATTTCCACCACTTCTAATAGACCCATTTCTTTCAAACAACATGAGCTTTTAGACCCGATTTGACTTAATTTGATGTTTATTAATTTTTTTTAAAAATGTAATTAAAAATTGCTATATGATACTAAAGTAAAACATTTAAATATTTACAATTAAAATATTTAAAAAAAAGTAATTACAAGTTTTCATGCATGTGGTAGAAAATATGTTTCTCTAAAATATATATAGCAATGTACGGTAGTTAATGATCTATACAGAAAAGTGTGTGAGATCATACACATTTAGTAGGTGTATTCAATACATAAATACAAATAATTAATTATATAGCAACCCATGTTTGTCTGAAGTTATTTAAATATTTTTTAAAAAAAATTATTTCTATCTAGTGTATGTTAAAAATGGTTTTAATAATTTATTAATTTTTAAAATTCCATTTTTGCCTGTCATGTCATCTATTCACATCTGAAGACAAATCTGATCAATTTTTTTTTGTACCTGTCCAGGTACTTTGAGCTGAAGCCTGACCTGTCAATCGCAGGGAACCTGAAAGGTCATTGCTTGACCGAGTTCCCCAGTATTGCTGTCCTACCCCCATCTCCCGGCGATTGTGCAGAGTTCCTGCTTTTCTCTAAAGGTGAGAGATTCAACTTTGACCTTTATTGGACAGATCCTTGAAATCATTGAATTAATTAGCCAGTGTTATGTACTGCAGGTTTATGTCTGATTTTGTTCAAGGTAATCACTAGTGATTGTCTATGCTAATTTTGTTTTTAAAGCTTTTACTTCAACCATAGTTTCTCTAAATGAAGATAATTGTTGTATATTTATATTTCATATGTGCGTATACTGATACATGCTCCATGTCTGTGTTCATGATCTGTGTGTTTGTATGTTTGTCTATTGATCCACGTATCATGTCTGTGTTCATGATCTGTGTGTTTGTATGTTTGTCTATTGATCCACGTATCCATGTCTGTGTTCATGATCTGTGTGTTTGTATGTTTGTCTATTGATCCACGTATCTATGTATGTGTTCATGATCTGTGTGTTTGTATGTTTGTCTATTGATCCACGTATCCATGTATGTGTTCATGATCTGTGTGTTTGTATGTTTGTCTATTAATCCACGTATCCATGTATGTGTTCATGATCTGTGTGTTTGTATGTTTGTCTATTGATCCACGTATCCATGTATGTGTTCATGATCTGTGTGTTTGTATGTTTGTCTATTGATCCATGTATCATGTCTGTGTTCATGATCTGTGTGTTTGTGTGTTTGTCTATTGATCCACATATCATGTATGTGCAGATGACCTGGCCTACATGGAGTCGTCCAACCGTGTCCACATGATGAAAAACTTGCCAGGCCTCAACTACCAGGCAGAGCTAGAGCAGGAGCTCATCAACCCACACTCAGATATTTTCTCCACACACACGACCCCCCACACATGAGGGGGTCAGGGTCAAATAAACATTCACTTCTTTTTTGACTCTTTGTAATAGCTTAGTAATTATGTAAAGGTGGTTGTTTCCATGGTAACCATGTAGTTGCTCACATTGTTTGTAGTGACAACAGAATTTTGTTGGTATCTAATGTATCTTGCTGGTACCACTGCACTCCTATAGTACACATTTTGTGTAGCAGGTATTGGTGTCACCACTTTACTTGTATAGTACACATTTTGTGTTGCAGTTATTGGTGTCACCACTTTACTTGTATAGTACACATTTTGTGTTGTAGTTATTGGTGTCTCCACTTCTGTCAAGGCAGCTACACTGTCACCACTTATTGCATGGACACACGACATCACATGGACACACGACATCACATGGACACACGACATCACATGGACACACGACATCACATGGACACACGACATCACATGGACACACGACATCACATGGACACACGACATCACATGGACACACGACATCACATGGACACACGACATCACATGGACACACGACATCACATGGACACACGACATCACATGGACACACGACATCACATGGACACACGACATCACATGGACACACGACATCACATGGACACACGACGACACCTGCCACATTACTGCTGTCCCTAGTATTATATTTCATTGAAGTGACACCTGCTTATTTGGTCAAACTGAGCTTAAAGCTAGAGCTAAACTGAGCTTGAGTTTAACACATCTGGTCCTACACCAACAGGTCTTGTACATGTTTGAATGCAGTTGTACACAAGCAAATACATGTTCAGAGCAGGTTTTGTTGAAATGACATTTAATAGGTGAGATGACAACAAATACATGTTCAGAGCAGGTTTTGTTGAAATGACATTTAATAGGTGAGATGACAACAAATACATGTTCAGAGCAGGTTTTGTTGAAATGACATTTAATAGGTGAGATGACAACAAATACATGTTCAGAGCAGGTTTTGTTGAAATGACATTTAATAGGTGAGATGACAACAAATACATGTTCAGAGCAGGTTTTGTTGAAATGACATTTAATAGCTAAGATGACAACAAACAAATGACATTTAATAGGTGAGATGACAACAAATACATGTTCAGAGCAGGTTTTGTTGAAATGACATTTAATAGGTGAGATGACAACAAATACATGTTCAGAGCAGGTTTTGTTGAAATGACATTTAATAGGTGAGATGACAACAAATACATGTTCAGAGCAGGTTTTGTTGAAATGACATTTAATAGCTAAGATGACAACAAACAAATGACATTTAATAGCTAAGATGACAACAAACAAATGACATTTAATAGCTAAGATGACAACAAACAAATGACATTTAATAGCTGAGATGACAACAAACATTATTCTTTGGTGCTAGCTGAGGTGCTGTCTGTTCCTTCATGAGCAGCAGGAAGACCTGCTCTAGGGACGTCTGCTGGACTGAGAAGTGGCGGAAGTCAAAAATTTTCTTGGCGCTGACTAAAATCCTGAACAGTCTGGACAGGCGTGTGCTCTCGGGCACCTGCAGTTGGTAGTAGGAGGGTTGGGCGTTAAACACCTGGGGAGGTAGGAAGGTTGGGCATTAAACACCTGGGGAGGTAGGAGGGTTGGGCATTAAACACCTGGGGAGGTAGGAGGGTTGGGCATTAAACACCTGGGGAGGTAGGAGGGTTGGGCATTAAACACCTGGGGAGGTAGGAGGGTTGGGCATTAAACACCTGGGGAGGTAGGGGGCTGGGCATTAAACACCTGGGGAGGTAGGAGGGCTGGGCATTAAATCAGAGATCTTTTTTAAAAATCTAAGTTCAATATAAAAAACAACTATACTGGTATTGTTAAGATTTTTACCTTGACATTGCGTCATATTTTTGTATCACGGTCTAGGGGAAATAACTAAATATATTCTCTTTTCAAACTAGTATATGTACAGTAGCTTCCCTTAGATTAAATAAATTCATATTTTAATCGTCTTTTTTCTAGCCCAATATCATTACCCAAATCAATCAGAGATCTTTTTTAAAAAAATCTAAGTTAAAATATTTTAAAAACCAACTATAGTGGTATTGTTAAGATTTTTACCGTGACATTGCCTCATTTTTTTTCACGGTCTAAGGGAAATAACTAAATATATTCTCTTTACAAACTAGTATATGTACAGTAGCTTCCCTTAGATCAGAAATTTATATTTTATTAGTTTGCTTTTCTAGCCCAATATCATCAACAATATCGACTAGAACTATTTTTTATAAAAAAATGTAGGTTAAAATATACAAAACCAAAACGTGATTGTTAAGTTTTTTACCTTCACTTCGCTTCATTTTTTTTCACGGTCTAAGGGAAATAACTAAATATAATCAATTTACAAATTAGTATATGTACAGTAGCTTCCCTTTGATCAAATAAATTCGTATTTTTATTCGTCTGTTTTCTAGCCCAATATCATAACCAAAATCAATCTGAGATCTTTTTAAAAAAATCTAAGTTCAATATAAAAATCAACTATAGTGGTATTGTTAAGATTTTTACCTTGACATTTTTTTTCACGGTCTAAGGGAAATAACTAAATATATTCTATTTACAAACTAGTATATGTACAGTAGCTTCCCTTAGATTAAATAAATTCATATTTTATTCGTCTGCTTTTCTAGCCCAATATCATCACCAATATCGATTAGAAATATTTTTTTCTAAAAAAATCTATACAAAAACAAACCAAAACGTGATTTTTAAGATTTTTACCTTGATGTTGTGTCATTTTTTTTTTCACGGTCTAAGGGAAATAACTAAATATATTCTATTTACAAACTAGTATATGTACAGTAGCTTCCCTTAGATTAAATAAATTCATATTTTATTCGTCTGCTTTTCTAGCCCAATATCATCACCGCTATCGATTAGAAATATTTTTTTATAAAAAAATCTATACAAAAACAAACCAAAACGTGATTTTTACGATTTTTACCTTGACATTTTTTTCACGGTCTAAGGGAAATAACTAAATATATTCTCTTTACAAACTAGCATTTGTACAGTAGCTTCCCTTTGGAAAAATAAATTCATATTTTTTTATTCGTCTGCTTTTTCTAGCCGAATATCATTACCAGCATCGATTGGAGATATATATATATTTTTTAATTGATTAAAATATAAAAACAAAAAAATGTGACTATTTATATTTGCACCTTGAATTGAGTTTTTCACGGTCTAAGGGAATTAACTAAGTATATTATGTTTACAAGCTAGTTTTTGTACAGTAGCTTCCCTTTGATATCTTTTTATTTATTTTTTTAAAAATTGGTTTAGCTTAATATTATTATTACCTGTGTTTATTTCAGTATTTAGGTTAAAAAATTTAAATAATTTTTATTTATGTACTTTGACCTAAGCTCCTTTGTTTTACTCAATGGGAAATAAAATATATCTGGTTTACAAATTAGTATTTGCAAAGTAGCTTACCTTTGTTAGAAAAAATTAAATTTGTATTCATTCAGGTTAAAATTGTTATTAGTGCGTGAAAAGAAAATATAGAAAAGAATAAAAAGCTACCAAAAACTATGAGGGTATATTTGATATTTCTGCCAACTGAGACAAACTGCTGGCTGTCTAAAAAACAAAGTATTCAGCGTTGAGAAACAACTAGCTACCTACATGATTTTATTTGTGCGGAATTTGATAACAAACAAATGGAACTGGCCGTTACTGATGGATACAATAGAAAGTAAAATTATCAACTGAATCAAGCTAAGAAGTTATAGAATCAGGAAATAGTTTAAAACAGCGATCTTTGGTAACTAAACATAGTTATGGTAGAGCTGTTACATGTCCATGGTTGGCTGCCGAAGAAGACGAGCTTGAAAAATTACCAGTGTTCATGTCAGTTCAAATGTGAATATTTACGTACCTTGACCTCCGTGCCAATACAATCAATAATGAACTCAACAGCTGGCTCTAAGGGCGTCAAACTCCCGCCCTCTCGTTGTTGCGCGTGCAAGAAGACTGAATAGCCTTGACCGAATTTGGTTTTTAAGTGCTGAGAACTGCCCAGACAAAGAATGTTTCCGTTCTTGATGATTGCAATCTGTGTACACAGAGATTCGCATTCTTCCATGCTGAAATGTTTTTCTCCTATGTATCACTGGAAGACACGGACAATATGTACCCACTTCAGCCCCCCCCCCCCTCCCCAACATACCAACTTCACACCCCTCCCCCACATACCAAATGGACTTTCCTCCACAAGTTTCCACATTGTGGGGTTTCTGAACTAGATTTTTCGTTAATACAACTACCTCGGAACACATTTGATCACACATTTGGGCATTTTTATATGAACAACGTACCCAGCTGGACAACGCCTCTACATTTTAAATGACCCCCATTCAACTAACTGTGACGTCAGCACCATCGTCCACCTAACTACGTGACCTCACACCTGTGTTCACCTACCTGTGTGACGTCAGCACCATCGTCCACCTAACTACGTGACCTCACACCTGTGTTCACCTACGTGTGTGACGTCAGCACCATCGTCCACCTAACTACGTGACCTGTATTCACCTACCTGTGTGACGTCAGCACCATCGTCCACCTAACTACGTGACCTCACACCTGTGTTCACCTACGTGTGTGACGTCAGCACCATCGTCCACCTAACTACGTGACCTGTATTCAACTACCTGTGTGACGTCAGCACCATCGTCCACCTAACTACGTGACCTCACACCTGTGTTCACCTACCTGTGTGACGTCAGCACCATCGTCCACCTAACTATGTGACCTGTATTCACCTACCTGTGTGACGTCAGCACCATCGTCCACCTAACTACGTGACCTCACACCTGTGTTCACCTACCTGTGTGACGTCAGCACCATCGTCCACCTAACTACGTGACCTGTATTCACCTACCTGTGTGACGTCAGCACCATCGTCCACCTAACTACGTGACCTCACACCTGTGTTTACCTACCTGTGTGACGTCAGCACCATCGTCCAACTAACTACGTGACCTGTATTCACCTACCTGTGTGACGTCAGCACCATCGTCCACCTAACTACGTGACCTCACACCTGTGTTCACCTACCTGTGTGACGTCAGCACCATCGTCCACCTAACTACGTGACCTGTATTCACCTACCTGTGTGACGTCAGCACCATCGTCCACCTAACTACGTGACCTCACACCTGTGTTCACCTACCTGTGTGACGTCAGCACCATCGTCCACCTAACTACGTGACCTGTATTCACCTACCTGTGTGACGTCAGCACCATCGTCCACCTAACTACGTGACCTCACACCTGTGTTCACCTACCTGTGTGACGTCAGCACCATCGTCCACCTAACTATGTGACCTGTATTCACCTACCTGTGTGACGTCAGCACCATCGTCCACCTAACTACGTGACCTCACACCTGTGTTCACCTACCTGTGTGACGTCAGCACCATCGTCCACCTAACTACGTGACCTGTATTCACATACCTGTGTGACGTCAGCACCATCGTCCACCTAACTACGTGACCTCACACCTGTGTTTACCTACCTGTGTGACGTCAGCACCATCGTCCACCTAACTACGTAACCTCACACCTGTGTTTACCTACCTGTGTGACGTCAGCACCATCGTCCACCTAACTACGTGACCTCACACCTGTGTTCACCTACCTGTGTGACGTCAGCACCATCGTCCACCTAACTACGTAATCTCACACCTGTGTTCACCTACGTGTGTGACGTCAGCACCATCGTCCACCTAACTACGTGACCTGTATTCACCTACCTGTGTGACGTCAGAACCATCGTCCACCTAACTACGTGACCTCACACCTGTGTTCACCTACCTGTGTGACGTCAGCACCATCGTCCACCTAACTACGTGACCTGTATTCACCTACCTGTGTGACGTCAGCACCATCGTCCACCTAACTACGTGACCTCACACCTGTGTTCACCTACCTGTGTGACGTCAGCACCATCGTCCACCTAACTACGTGACCTGTATTCACCTACCTGTGTGACGTCAGCACCATCGTCCACCTAACTACGTGACCTCACACCTGTGTTCACCTACCTGTGTGACGTCAGCACCATCGTCCACCTAACTACGTGACCTGTAATCACCTACCTGTGTGACGTCAGCACCATCGTCCACCTAACTACGTGACCTCACACCTGTGTTCACCTACCTGTGTGACGTCAGCACCATCGTCCACCTAACTACGTGACCTGTATTCACCTACCTGTGTGACGTCAGCACCATCGTCCACCTAACTACGTGACCTCACACCTGTGTTCACCTACCTGTGTGACGTCAGCACCATCGTCCACCTAATTACGTGACCTGTATTCACCTACCTGTGTGACGTCAGCACCATCGTCCACCTAACTACGTGACCTGTATTCACCTACCTGTGTGACGTCAGCACCATCGTCCACCTAACTATGTGACCTGTATTCACCTACCTGTGTGACGTCAGCACCATCGTCCACCTAACTACGTGACCTCACACCTGTGTTCACCTACCTGTGTGACGTCAGCACCATCGTCCACCTAACTACGTGACCTGTATTCACCTACCTGTGTGACGTCAGCACCATCGTCCACCTAACTACGTGACCTGTATTCACCTACCTGTGTGACGTCAGCACCATCGTCCACCTAACTACGTGACCTCACACCTGTGTTCACCTACCTGTGTGACGTCAGCACCATCGTCCACCTAACTACGTGACCTGTATTCACCTACCTGTGTGACGTCAGCACCATCGTCCACCTAACTACGTGACCACACACCTGTGTTCACCTACCTGTGTGACGTCAGCACCATCGTCCACCTAACTACGTGACCTGTATTCAACTACCTGTGTGACGTCAGCACCATCGTCCACCTAACTACGTGACCTCACACCTGTGTTCACCTACCTGTGTGACGTCAGCACCATCGTCCACCTAACTACGTGACCTCACACCTGTGTTCACCTACCTGTGTGACGTCAGCACCATCGTCCACCTAACTACGTGACCTGTATTCACCTACCTGTGTGACGTCAGCACCATCGTCCACCTAACTACGTGACCTCACACCTGTGTTCACCTACCTGTGTGACGTCAGCACCATCGTCCACCTAACTACGTGACCTGTATTCACCTACCTGTGTGACGTCAGCACCATCGTCCACCTAACCACGTGACCACACACCTGTGTTCACCTACCTGTGTGACGCCAGCACCAGTGTTCTCTCAGCTGACCTGATCATATGCAGACACCGCCATAGACTTCTCCTGGACACCGGATCCAGACCAGCTGTCGGCTCGTCCAACATGATGAAGTGGGGGTTGCCGATGATTGCTATACCAACAGACAGCTTCCTCTTGTTGCCGCCACTATCGATACGATATATCAAACGCTAGCCACCCGTAAATGTGGGTTGGATAAATCAACCACTAGCCATCCTAAAATGTGGATTAGATATATCGACCACTAGCCAGCCTAAAATGTGGATTAGATATATCGACCACTAGCCAGCCTAAAATGTGGATTAGATATATCGACCACTAACCAGCCTAAAATGTGGATTAGATATATCGACCACTAGCCAGCCTAAAATGTGGATTAGATATATCGACCACGAACCAGCCTAAAATGTGGATTAGATATATCGACCACTAACCAGCCTAAAATGTGGATTAGATATATCGACCACTAGCCAGCCTAATTTATTTTTATTCTATTGATGGTATCAGATCTCGATAACCAGTAGATCAAATGTCACGTGAGTTGTACGATGAGATGGCGTCAAAAACCTGTAGTGTGATGTGCACTTGTCCTCGTGAGGCCTCAGTGTGATGAAGTCGATGATGGTCTCGGTCACCTCACGCAGGCTGCCCTCCTGCACCCCCCTCAACCTGCCGTACAGGTACAGGGTCTCTCGTCCTGTCAACACGTCATGGAGGGCGTCAAACTGGGGGCAGTAACTCATCATAGACTGGACCTGTAACATTAAGGGCAGTAACTCATCATAGACTGGACCTGTAACGTTAAGGGCAGTAACTCATCATAGACTGGACCTGTAACATTAAGGGCAGTAACTCATCATAGTCTGGACCTGTAACATTAAGGGCAGTAGCTCATCATAGACTGGACCTGTAACATTAAGGGCAGTAACTCATCATAGACTGGACCTGTAACATTAAGGGCAGTAACTCATCATAGACTGGACCTGTAACATTATGGGCAGTAACTCGTCATAGACTGGACCTGTAACATTAAGGGCAGTAACTCATCATAGACTGGACCTGTAACAATTAGGGCAGTAACTCATCATAGACTGGACCTGCAACATTAAGGGCAGTAACTCATCATAGACTGGACCTGTAACATTAAGGACAGTAACTCATCATAGACTGGACCTGTAACATTAAGGGCAGTAACTCATCATAGAATGGACCTGTAACATTAAGGGCAGTAACTCATCATAGACTGGACCTGTAACATTAAGGGCAGTAACTCATCATAGACTGGACCTGTATCATTAAGGGCAGTAACTCATCATAGACTGGACCTGTAACATTAAGGGCAGTAACTCATCATAGACTGGACCTGTAACATTAAGGGCAGTAACTCATCATAGACTGGACCTGTAACATTAAGGGCAGTAACTCATCATACACTGGACCTGTTACATTAAGGGAAGTAACTCATCATAGACTGGACCTGTAACATTAAGGGCAGTAACTCATCATAGACTGGACCTGTAACATTAAGGGCAGTAACTCATCATAGACTGGACCTGTAACATTAAGGGCAGTAACTCATCATAGACTGGACCTGTAACATTAAGGGCAGTAACTCATCATAGACTGGACCTGTAACATTAAGGGCAGTAACTCATCATAGACTGGACCTGTAACATTAAGGGCAGTAACTCATCATAGACTGGACCTGTAACATTAAGGGCAGTAACTCATCATAGACTGGACCTGTAACATTAAGGGCAGTAACTCATCATAGACTGGACCTGTAACATTAAGGGCAGTAACTCATCATAGACTGGACCTGTAACATTAAGGGCAGTAACTCATCATAGACTGGACCTGTAACATTAAGGGCAGTAACTCATCATACACTGGACCTGTTACATTAAGGGAAGTAACTCATCATAGACTGGACCTGTAACATTAAGGGCAGTAACTCATCATAGACTGGACCTGTAACATTAAGGGCAGTAACTCATCATAGACTGGACCTGTAACATTAAGGGCAGTAACTCATCATAGACTGGACCTGTAACATTAAGGGCAGTAACTCATCATAGACTGGACCTGTAACATTAAGGGCAGTAACTCATCATACACTGGACCTGTTACATTAAGGGAAGTAACTCATCATAGACTGGACATTCACCAGTAGTAATGATGAAATTTAAAATTAAAGCAAACGGAAATCAAGTGTGACCCACGGTTTTTAAGTGCGTTTTTATGTTTTTCCCTTTCATGTAGACGTTTCCTTTGGTGATGCTCAGGTCACCCGTCAGCATTTTAAATAGAGTTGTCTTCCCGGCACCGTTCTTGCCCAGCAGACCCAGACACTCCTTGTCGGGAATCCCCAGATTTGTCGGGTGAACCGCGGGCTTGCAAGACGTCAGATGGCAGTAGGTCTTTTGGAGGTCCACCATCAGGAGGGCATCTAGAATCACCAACATTGTAGGGACATGGGCAGACGGTGGAGATATGAAACCACCAACATTGTAGGGACATGGGCAGACGAAGATATGAAACCACCAACATTGTAGGGACATGGGCAGACGTAGATATGAAACCACCAACATTGTAGGGACATGGGCAGACGGTGGAGATATGAAACCACCAACATTGTAGGGACATGGGCAGACAATGGAGATATGAAACCACCAACATTGTAGGGACATGGGCAGACGTAGATATGAAACCACCAACATTGTAGGGACATGGGCAGACGGTGGAGATATGAAACCACCAACATTGTAGGGACATGGGCAGACAATGGAGATATGAAACCACCAACATTGTAGGGCAGACGGTGGAGATATGAAACCACCAACATTGTAGGGACATGGGCAGACAATGGAGATATGAAACCACCAACATTGTAGGGACATGGGCAGACGGTGGAGATATGAAACCACCAACATTGTAGGGACATGGGCAGATGGTGGAGATATGAAACCACCAACATTGTAGGGACATGGGCAGACGGTGGAGATATGAAACCACCAACATTGTAGGGACATGGGCAGATGGTGGAGATATGAAACCACCAACATTGTAGGGACATGGGCAGACGGTGGAGATATGAAACCACCAACATTGTAGGGACATGGGCAGACGTAGATATGAAACCACCAACATTGTACGGACATGGGCAGACGGTGGAGATATGAAACCACCAACATTGTAGGGCAGACGGTGGAGATATGAAACCACCAACATTGTAGGGACATGGGCAGACGGTGGAGATATGAAACCACCAACATTGTAGGGACATGGGCAGACGGTGGAGATATGAAACCACAGTAGTATATTAGGTCCCTTTTGGGTCGTATGGGTGAAGGAGCCATGGGTGAGCAGGAGCAGGAGCAGGAGCAGGAGCAGGATGCGGAACAAAGGATATATAGTAAAATACTCGCCCACCTGGCGGAGGGTGAAGGAGCCGGCGGGACAATGAGATATAGTAAAATACTCACCCAGCGGGGTGAGGGTGGGTGAGGGTGAAGGAGCAGGCGCAGGGTGAAGGAGCCGCAGGCGCAATGACATATAGTAAAATACTCACCCACCTGGGTGAGCAGGTGGGTGAGGGTGAAGGAGCCGCAGGCGCAAAGGCATATAGTAAAATACTCACCCACCCTAGGGTGGGTGAGCAGGTGAGGGAGTAGGTCAGTAGGTCACCACCGGTGACCTTGTGACGTAATCAGTGACCTAATTACGTAATTTTAACGAGTTTTTTAATTAGTTTTAAATTTTAATTAATTTTTGACCTAGTTACGTAATTTTAATGAGTTTTTTAATTAGTTTGAATTTAATTTTTAAGTTTTAATTAATTTTTTATTGACGAGTTACGTAATTTGATTATTTGTTTCATTTTTAATTATTTTTAAAAATTTTAATTTTTAATTAGTTACGTAATTTGATTTTAATTACTTTGTATTTTTTAAAGTTTAATTTTTTAAATTTTAATTTTTAATTTTAATTAATTTTTTTTTTTTTTTTTTATTTTTTTATTAACGAGTTACGTAATTTGATTATTTGTTTGTTTTTAAATTTTATTTTTAATTGTTGTTTACTTGTTGTTTATTTGTTTGGTTTAATTCATTTTAATTAGTTTGATTTTAATTACTTTGTTTAATTTATTTATTTGATATATTTCTTTTCTTTGTTGCATGGTGTTTTAAATTCTCCCCTACAACGACCGTGTACAAAAAACAGGTTAAATTCTCCACCACAACGAACGTTATAAACATAGAACATTCATTTAATCACATCTGTTACTTAGCGATCCGCGATCCTTTGTTTTTGACACGCGCTCCTCGTTTTTTAATGGGAATGTATTGATCGCACCCACGGGCCATCACACCTAATTAATTTGGTCACGCCTCGTGGGTTTATGTGTTGTTCACTAAAACGAACACAGCAGGGGTCCCGCATTTAATTGAAAGAGCTAAGTGTCTCTCCGCGAAGCCAGCGTTAAGTGTGGGAACACCTGTTACCACGTTAATCGATTTTACCGATCGCTTTGTTAGCTCCGCGAAGTACGTAGGTCATTATGCAACAGCTGTTGTGCGACAGCTGGTGGTGTAATTAGGTTGAGCAACCGTATAAATGACCGCGAAAATTGTGTTCTAAACACTTCGACTTCGGACTTCAATTCAAGCGTCACAGCGACTTATCCTGGATGAGACCTCTGTTGACTCCTGAGACTAAACCCACGCCAGCTTTACCAAGCATCACATCTACCTAACCCTACACGGACCACATCTTTTGTGCGTGTTTATTCTATTAAAGGTAAGGTTAATATTACTTTTGTTTTATGGGCGCTAACCCTATTAAAATCAAATCTTACTAAATAAGTACTCACATGTATTTACTTTACTTTTTTCTTTTTTTTTTTTTTTTTTTTTTTTTTTTTTTTTTTTTTTTTTTGTATCGTACACCGAGGTAAGGTTAATATTACGTTTATTTTTAGTACGTATTGTTTTAAGGGAACTAACCCCCATTCAAATACCTTTTAATTAATTACTTTACTTTTGAATCGTACACCGAGGTAAGGTGAATAGTACGTTTATTTTTAGTACGTATTGTTTTAAGGGAACTAACCCCCATTCAAATACCTTTTAATTAATTACTTTACTTTTGAATCGTACACCGAGGTAAGGTGAATAGTACGTTTATTTTAAGGGAACTAACCCCATTAAAATACCCTTTAAATAATTATGTATCTAAATAAGTAGTCAATTGAATTTTCTTTTTTAGTGTACAACCGACCCAACAAGACAACCAGTGAGCTACCTACCCATCCCTGAGGCATCCACTGAACCAAAGGATCCAGCTACATCCAACTACACCACTTCGGATCTCCACATACACCTACCTTCACGTTCAGCTTACACGTTCAATCTCATAGGTACGTTTCATTTTTAATTTTGTTTTAAGTATGTATTTTATTTTATGATTTTTATTTTATGTATTTATTTTATTTTTATTCTACAGCCACCAACCTACCCAAGCATCCACACACTAGACACCACGTCAATAATGGAAGCCGCCCAATCAACCAGCCAGCCAGCCATGACCCGCTTCACATGCGAGATCTGTGACCGGGTATTCGGCCTTAAAAAAAATTTGACACGACATCACGACTCTGTTCACGGCCGACAAAGACATTCCTGCACAACTTGCGGGAAAGTATTTACATGACTTGACAATTTGACGAATCATTATAAGAAAGCACACAACAACCAAACTATACCGAGCGACACCCCATCAGCGACCAACAGACAAACTGCACAACCCCGATACGTGACCGACACACCTACTGTCCAACTCTCAACAGCGAGCCAAACAGCTCGTACCGCGGCCAACACTAACTCCTTAAAACGACACACGACGTGAACAACCCATAAACCCACGAGGCGTGACCAAATTAATTAGGTGTGATGGCCCGTGGGTGCGATCAATACATTCCCATTAAAAAACGAGGAGCGCGTGTCAAAAACAAAGGATCGCGGATCGCTAAGTAACAGATGTGATTAAATGAATGTTCTATGTTTATAACGTTCGTTGTGGTGGAGAATTTAACCTGTTTTTTGTACACGGTCGTTGTAGGGGAGAATTTAAAACACCATGCAACAAAGAAAAGAAATATATCAAATAAATAAATTAAACAAAGTAATTAAAATCAAACTAATTAAAATGAATTAAACCAAACAAATAAACAACAAGTAAACAACAATTAAAAATAAAATTTAAAAACAAACAAATAATCAAATTACGTAACTCGTTAATAAAAAAATAAAAAAAAAAAAAAAATTAATTAAAATTAAAAATTAAAATTTAAAAAATTAAACTTTAAAAAATACAAAGTAATTAAAATCAAATTACGTAACTAATTAAAAATTAAAATTTTTAAAAATAATTAAAAATGAAACAAATAATCAAATTACGTAACTCGTCAATAAAAAATTAATTAAAACTTAAAAATTAAATTCAAACTAATTAAAAAACTCATTAAAATTACGTAACTAGGTCAAAAATTAATTAAAATTTAAAACTAATTAAAAAACTCGTTAAAATTACGTAATTAGGTCACTGATTACGTCACAAGGTCACCGGTGGTGACCTACTGACCTACTCCCTCACCTGCTCACCCACCCTAGGGTGGGTGAGTATTTTACTATATGCCTTTGCGCCTGCGGCTCCTTCACCCTCACCCACCTGCTCACCCAGGTGGGTGAGTATTTTACTATATGTCATTGCGCCTGCGGCTCCTTCACCCTGCGCCTGCTCCTTCACCCTCACCCACCCTCACCCCGCTGGGTGAGTATTTTACTATATCTCATTGTCCCGCCGGCTCCTTCACCCTCCGCCAGGTGGGCGAGTATTTTACTATATATCCTTTGTTCCGCATCCTGCTCCTGCTCCTGCTCCTGCTCACCCATGGCTCCTTCACCCATACGACCCAAAAGGGACCTAATATACTACTAACCACCAACATTGTAGGGACATGGGCAGACGGTGGAGATATGAAACCACCAACATTGTAGGGACATGGGCAGACGGTGGAGATATGAAACCACCAACATTGTAGGGACATGGGCAGATGGTGGAGATATGAAACCACCAACATTGTAGGGACATGGGCAGACGGTGGAGATATGAAACCACCAACATTGTAGGGACATGGGCAGACGGTGGAGATATGAAACCACCAACATTGTAGGGCAGACGGTGGAGATATGAAACCACCAACATTGTAGGGACATGGGCAGACGGTGGAGATATAGAAAATACAAAGGAATGTTGAACAATATAAAAATGTGTGCTTCTCTTCTGCACTAGAGTCTGACCATTCTTCACTATTAAACACAACACAACAACACACTGAACACAACGTAGCACAAGACCACCACGCTACCAGTCTGTAGTAATGTTTCCTTCTGCGTGTCTTTCACCCGTTTTCTCTCCTTTGTGACGTCACTGTCCTCCTCCAACGGGGTTTTGTCTGGATGACCCGTCCATTTTTTTAACGGTCGCCTCAAGAGCCACACGATCAAGTACCTGGCGTTACAATATTCAATGTTATCTACCCTACCAATGTGATACGTCTTCTGCTGTTTTAAGAGTATATATATATATATATATATATATATATATATATATATATATATATATATATATATATATATATATATATAAAAATATATATATATATATATATATATATATATATATATATATATATATATATATATATATATATATATATATATATATAAATATATATATATATATATATATATATATATATATATATATATATATATATATATATATATATATATATATATATATATATATATATATATATATATATATATATATATATATATATATAAATATCAGAATGACCTATGGACCTTGTAGTCCAGCAAGATGACCAACCTACCAGAATGACCTATGGACCTTTTAGTCCAACAAGATGACCAACCTACCAGAATGACCTATGGACCTTGTAGTCCAGCAAGATGACCAACACCCAGGCCACGGCCGCCTGACACAAAAGTTTGTAGCTGTTTTCTGTCAGGAAGTTGTGATCGCGTGAGAAGAGAAACTGGAAGCCATCTGTGGTAGATTGACATTCAGACAGGTGATATACAATGACATTCAAGCATGTGATAGAATAACATTCATGAAGAGGTGTAATCAAATTAAGACAGGTGATATACAATGATATTTAGACAGGTTCGAAATGTGATAGACATATGATACAATGAAATTATAATGCTAATTGGTGATACCTAAGCTCAGGGGTCTCCAAACTACGGCCCGCGGGCCAGATGCGGCCCGCGAGGCTGTTTTATCCGGCCCGCGGACATCTTTTTAGCTGCGGAAAAAGTTACGGACATTTTTATTTGTTTTGCCGTCCTCAGCAATAAAAACCCAAACATATCTGCCGAAACCAGTTTTTTTATTATTTAGGTAGAAAAAAAACCTACAATCAAACACACTGACGTCGGCATAATTCTTTTAAAAAAAAAACTTTAGCTTGAGAAGCCGCTAGATATGTAGTGGGCTTTCATCCGAGCTCTCTTACTTCTAAAATAAACCACGCTGTCGTCGGCACAATTCTTTGAAAAAAACAACAACAAAGTCTCTAGCTCGAGAAGCCGCTAGAAATATAGTGGGCTTTCATGATGTGCGTTCCTTCTTTGTGCCATTGGTTAGGGGCCCGAAGTCCTTTGTACATTTTCAATGTAAAATATGTGTTTGTGATTTTCGTATAGCTTCTATCCTGTACTATTCTGTATCCTACAAATTATCAAAAATAACATAATACTAGAAACTTAGGTTTTACATACGTTTACTTGTTTTTACTTTTACAAGAAATGTCATAGTAAGCTTGTAGTGCCTATACTTTGAATTATCTCCCCTGAGAAAGTTTTATAATTGACTTTTGGAAAAGTACCATCCCAAACTTCTGGCGTACATCGGCGCTTTGTTGTCTTTTTCATGTTTTTTCCCGAGCCGACCCCCATCCCACCCCTCTTTCTAGCATCGCAAGTATCGAATAGAGATAAATGTATCGTTTGTCAACTTCCTAACCGCGTATTCGCCACTTCAAATTTTGTCAGACACTAGCAAGCACTGGTCAGCAGACAAATTTTTACTTGCATAGTATTTGGTGCATCTGATTCACAGAACAAACAAGGTGGGATAATTTTTATATTGTTTAGAAAAGGTTAACCATTAGTAAATAAATAAATTGAACACCATTTATAGTCATTTACTGTTACCAAATGACGTCATTTAGGGGCGAGGTTCATGCTTTTTGTGAGTTGTTTAAAAAATGTGACATGTTGTGGATGGCCCCTAAATCAGGAGGTTATCCAACGCTTGAGCTGACACATATAAAAAAAACGTTTTTGTAATTATTACGCATTACGACATCTTTCATCCGATCGCCATGAAAATTTCGGAAGCGTTTGAGTACAGCCCTGCAAAGGTTTCATCTTAGGCCCCACGACGCCTCTTACACCTAGCTAGGTCGTAACCAAGGGGTAATCAGCGTAAACTGAGGCCTACAGCATCTTTGGGCATCGCATAATCAGGTGTTTTTTTTTAAGCGATATCGTGTTTCACTTTTTTTTTCACGTTGAATTCATTTATTTTTAGCTCTCATCGATGGCCGAGAAGAAGAAAAGGAAAATAGACGATGAGTGTCGGCAATTTCAAGAAGAATGGAATTTGAAATACTTCTTCATAAAATCCGGAGATAAAGCACTGTGTCTGATTTGCAATGAAACCGTGGCTGTGATGAAAGAATACAACCTGCGCCGTCATCATCAAAGCAAACATCAGGGTAAATATGTACAGTTGGAGGGTAAAGTCCGTGCCAAAACATATTCTAAATTAAAAAATCAACTCACACCTCAGAGGACGTTGATCAATAAATCCTCAAATGAAAATGAAGCCTTAACAAAGGCCAGTTATAATGTTGCCTATGTCCTGGCTAAAAGTGGCAAACCGTTTACAGATGGTGAAGTAGTGAAGGAATGTTTGATGAAGGTGGCTGAGGAACTTTGCCCAGAAAAGTCAAAACAATTTGAAAATGTAGCTTTGGGTGCAAATACAATCGCCCGCCGTGTTGCAGACATGGGTGAAAACATTGTGACTCAAATAACGAAACATGCAAGCAGGTTTTGCCATTTTTCAATTGCAATGGATGAATCGCTGGACAGCTGTTCCACCTCTCAACTTCTTGTGTTCATTAGAGGTGTGGATGAAGAAATGAACATAACACAAGAGCTGGCTTCTCTACATAGCATGTATGACACTGTTACCGGAGAGGATATATTCAATGAGTTGAAAAAAAACATTTGCTGATTATAACTTGGAATGGACTAATCTCAGTTGCCTGACTGTGGATGGAGGAACGAACATGAGTGGCATAAAGAAAGGCTTGGTTGGACAAGTGAAGCAGATGTGTAATCAGAAAAACATTCAAGAACCAATGTTCCTGCACTGTATTATTCACCAGCAAGCTTTGTGTGCTAAATATATGGACATTAGCTATGTAATGAATCCTGTGGTGAAGATGATGAATTTGATAAGGTCACATGGCCTCAACCATAGACAGTTCAGAGACATGTTGAAAGAAACAGACACAGTATCGCAGGATTTACCATATTACACAGCAATAAGATGGCTAAGTTGTGAGAAAGCTCTTAGCAGAGTATTTAAGTTAAGAAAGGAAATAGGTTACTTCCTGGAAAGTAAAGGCAAGCCACAGCCATTATTGTCTGATGAAGAGTGGGTATGGAAATTGGCCTTTGCTGCAGACATAACTAGTCATTTAAATTTTCTGAACCTAAAATTACAAGGGAAAGAAAATGTAGTTTCTGATTTATACACCCACATAAAGGCTTTCAGATCTAAACTTGTCATGTCCCCGGGCGCCGACCTTAGGGGCGCCAAAATGGGTTGGAAAAATAAATTGAAAGGTTGAGGGGGGTGAAAATCGAAAGTTTGAATGGGGGGGGGGGTGCAAATCGAAATCTCGAGGGGGGGGGGGGGGTGCAAATCGAAATCTCGAGGGGGGGGGGGGGGTGCAAATCGAAAGTTTGAGGGGGGGGGGTGCAAAAAATCGAAAAGTTTGTCCCCGAGCGCCGGGAAGGGTCGCTACGCCTCTGAAAAACAACATCCATGTTTTGATTTCTTTTTATTTGGACCTCAAGTGTGTTCTCGGCCCCCGAACTGCTATCTGATAGTCAATGCGGCCCTCGGGCTGAAAAGTTTGGAGACCCCTGCAAGCTAATGGTCAATTCTTATCGGCCACACGATGATGCCTGCAGACATGAGAGCTGGCAGACTTTTGTACGGCATCGTACGGCTAGACATAGTAGGTTGAGCACATTAGCACCTTAGCACCTTACCAACGGCATGGTACGGCTAGACAAAGTCGGCTGAGCACCTTAGCACCTTACCAACGGCATCATACGGCTAGACAAAGTCGGCTGAGCACCTTAGCACCTTACCAACGGCATCATACGGTACTTGCAGCATCATGACGATGAGCATCCCAGACAGCAGGTAGTTGGGGGACACGAAACTACACACCTGGTCCCACACGGCCCAATGGCCCTTAATGGCCACGCCCCCCAGCTTGAAAAAACCAATCACTGTGCCAATAGCGATACCTGCAGGAAAAATGAATGAAAGAAATTGGGACGGGGGGGGGGGGGTAGTCCGGTGATGTGTAAGGGCTCAAACTGTGGGGGGTGGTGGGGAGGGGGGGGGGAGAGACTAGCGACTAGTATATGTACACACCCATACACGCACACGAGCACACACACAGATACACAACCACACATAGAAACACACATATACATATATGGGTCTAGCACATTACCCCCTGATCAATGACGCCCTCCTTAGAGAATATATTAGAGTTGTACTTATCACATCAATATCCCTGTCGACCTCTATCATTATTCTCATATCTTTAACATTAACTCTGGTAATTACCAAGCCCTACCCCCTAACCCAGACCCCAAACGCAACTCATCCAATCCCAAAACTACCCCACCCCTTTTGTCGCTATAACGTATCCGGTCAACTAGTAATGTGTTACTATTTTTTTTACGTACAAGGTAGCTACTGAACGATATAGGATATAATAGGAGGGGGGGGGGGTTGAAAGAATGTCAGTGTTTAAAAACCCTGGTATAAATTATCATAACTTACCACCACCACTACTGTAGCAATCATTATCTAAAACCACCACGCCTACTGTAGCAATCATTATCGACCACCACCACTACTGTAGCAATCATTATCTACCACCACCACGCCTACTGTAGCAATCATTATCTACCACCACCACTACTGTAGCAATCATTATCTACCACCACCACTACTGTAGCAATCATTATCTACCACCACCACGCCTACTGTAGCAATCATTATCTACCACCACCACTACTGTAGCAATAATTATCTACCACCACCACGCCTGCAGTAGCAATCATTATCTACCACCACCACTACTGTAGCAATCATTATCTACCACCACCACTACTGTAGCAATCATTATCTACCACCACCACGCCTACTGTAGCAATCATTATCTACCACCACCACTACTGTAGCAATCATTATCTACCACCACCACCACTACTGTAGCAATCATTATCTACCACCACCACGCCTGCAGTAGCAATCATTATCTACCACCACCACTACTGTAGCAATCATTATCTACCACCACCACCACTACTGTAGCAATCATTATCTACCACCACCACTACTGTAGCAATCAGTATCTACCACCACCACCACTACTGTAGCAATCATTATCTACCACCACCACGCCTGCAGTAGCAATCATTATCTACCACCACCACTACTGTAGCAATCATTATCTACCACCACCACCACGCCTACTGTAGCAATCATTATCTACCACCACCACGCCTGCAGTAGCAATCATTATCTACCACCACCACCACTACTGTAGCAATCATTATCTACCACCACCACTACTGTAGCAATCATTATCTACCACCACCACCACGCCTACTGTAGCAATCATTATCTACCACCAACACCACTACTGTAGCAATCATTATCTACCACCACCACGCCTACTGTAGCAATCATTATCTACCACCACCACTACTGTAGCAATCATTATCTACCACCACCACTACTGTAGCAATCATTATCTACAACCACCACTACTGTAGCAATCATTATCTACCACCACCACGCCTACTGTAGCAATCATTATCTACCACCACCACTACTGTAGCAATCATTATCTACCACCACCTGACCTGACCTGACTTACCGATGACGATGTTAACGATGAGGATGACGAGCAGACCACGTGACGGCGTCGTGAAAGAGTTCTGCAGGAAGTAGAGGAAGGGGAAGGTCGCCAGCCCGTAGACCGTGGCCAGGGTCAAGGTGACCAGCCAGCGGTTGTTCATGATGAAGATGTAGGGGTTGACGTTCAGGGCGCAGATGATCAGCGCAACCACCATCAGGAACACCGGGAAGTCAAAGGCGAACGTGCCCAGCCAGTAGGCCAGGGGGTGGACGCCGCTCATCTCTTGTAGGAGCTTGGCGCCTGTCTAGGGATACACGGGTCTTGGGATAAGGGGGTTCACAGGTCTTGGGATAAGGGGGTACACAGGTCACGGGATAAGGGGGTTCACAGATCACGGGATAAGGGGGTACACAGGTCTTGAGATAGGGGGGTACACAGGTCTTGGGATAAGGGGTACACAGGTCTTGGGATAAGGGGGTTTTACACGGGTCTTTGGATAAGGGGGTTCACAGGTGTTGGGATAAGGGGGTTCACAAATCTTGGGATAAGGGGGGTTCACATGTCTTGGGATAAGGGGGTTTACAGGTCTTGGGATAAGGGGGTTCACAGGTCTTGGGATAAGGGGGTTCACATGTCTTGGGATAAGGGGGTACATAGGTGTTGGAATAAGGGGTACACAGGTCTTGGGATAAGGGTGTTTAGAGGTCTTGGGATAAGGGGGTTTACAGGTCTTGGGATAAGGGAGTTCACAGGTCTTGGGATAAGGGGGTTTACCAGGTCTTGGGATAAGGGGGTTCACATGTCTTGGGATAAGGGGGTACACAGGTTTTACGATAAGGGGGGGGGGGGGGTTACACGGGTATTAGGATAAGGGGGCTCACATTTTTTGGGATAAGGGGGTTCACGGGTCTTGGGATAAGGGGGTACACGGGTCTTGGGATAAGGGGGTTCACAGGTCTTGGGATAAGGGGGTTCACAGGTCTTGGGATAAGGGGGTTTACAGGTCTTGGGATAAGGGAGTTCACAGGTCTTGGGATAAGGGGGTTTACCAGGTCTTGGGATAAGGGGGTTCACAGGTCTTGGGATAAAGGGGTTCACAGATCTTGGGATAAGTAAATATAGACCTACTGCCCGCTCCCAATGATATAAGAAAACCAGGACCTACTGCCCGGCCCCTGTGATATAAGAAAACCAGGACCTACTGCCCGCTCCGAGATGAGACTATTGATGAACAAGACTGGGATAAAGGCCATGGCGAAGCTGATCCCCAGCATAGTCTGGTACTCGAAGGTCGACCTTGCCCTCTCCACTGGCCGCTCGTACAACGTCACACCCGTCTCGACGGCGAAATCTGCGCCCAGGGCGTCTTCCACTTGGGCGTTAATCAGCAGCTGGACCTACAGAAGGTCGAGTCAGTAGTGTGACCTACAGAAGGTCAATAGTGTGACCTACAGAAGGTCATGTCAGTAGTGTGACCTACAGAAGGTCATGTCAGTAGTGTGACCTACAGAAGGTCATGTCAGTAGTGTGACCTACAGAAGGTCATGTCAATAGTGTGACCTACAGAAGGTCATGTCAGTAGTTTGACCTACAGAAGGTTAATAGTGTGACCTACAGAAGGTCATGTCAGTAGTGTGACCTACAGAAGGTCATGTCAGTAGTGTGACCTCCAGAAGGTCAGTAGTGTGACCTACAGAAGGTCAGTAGTGTGACCTACCTAAGGTCAGGTCAGTAGTGTGACCTACAGAAGGTCAGGTCAGTAGTGTGACCTACAGAAGGTCAGGTCAGTAGTGTGACCTACAGAAGGTCAGGTCAGTAGTGTGACCTACAGAAGGTCATCTCAGTAGTCGGACATAAAGGACAGTCATACACGCATCCCAGCATGCTGAAACCCCAAATCTAGATCACCACCACCAAATGTATACATAATACCCTCCCATCCCCCCCCCCTTACCACTATACTCTGTGCCTGTCTACACTTAACCCCCCCCCCCCCCAGCCCCAGGGGCGTAGCGACCCTTTACGGCGCCCGGGGACAATCTTTCAATCTGGCGCCGCCCAAATATTTTTTATATTCATAATGCAAAACTGCAGCTAAAATGTGCTTTTAATTTTTTGTTCAACCCATTTTGACGCACCCTAGGGTCGGCGCCCGGGGATATATGTACCCCATCCCCCGCCCTCCTTACTCTCTACGCCTCTGGACCCCCCCCCCCCCTTCCATCTTTCTGCCTATACTGACCGCAATGCCCTGTGCCTGAACGATCTGGCCTTGGAAGAACAACACAGTCGGCCTGGGAGGATCAAACTTGACACCAAAAACCATTTTCATTTCGTAACATTCCTTGCCGTTTTGTTTGGCGTACTGCAGGAAGTACCTGTTGCTGTCGTTCTGTAACAAAACGGTGGTGGTGGGGGGGGGGGGAGAATGTACGTCGACAGTTTTCTGTTGGTGTCGTTCTGTAACAAAACGGTGGTGGTAGGGGGGGGGGGGGGAGGGGAGAATGTACGTCGGCAGTTTTCTGTTGGTGTCGTTTTGTAACAAAACGGTGGTGGGGGAGGGGAGAATGTACGTCGACAGTTTTCTGTTGGTGTCGTTCTGTAACAAAACGGTGGTGGTAGTTGGTGTCGTTCTGTAACAAAACGGTGGTGGTAGTTGGTGTCGTTCTGTAACAAAACGGTGGTGGTAGGGGGGGGGGAGAATGTACGTCGACAGTTTTCTGTTGCTGTCGTTCCGTAACAAAACGGTGGTGGTAGTGGGGGGGGGGGGAGAATGTACGTCGACAGTTTTCAATGACAGTAGATGTGTGGTTGTAGTCTATATATCAAGGTATAGACTTGGATAAACCCATGACATAATGGCGGTGTTATGTGCAGATACAATAGAGTATATCTGTCCCTACCAACTGAAATCTTGCAAGTTTTTCCGATCTATAAGTGTACTGGCCTCTAGTAAGTTCGCCACGTCGTAGGTGCTCTAAACTTTAAACACGACCTTCTTTCATACCTTATTAGTGACGTCATACTAACCATCATAACCGTCAGAACGTCATTCTGATCGTCAGGACGTCACACTTACCATCAGAACGAAACACTAGCCTTCATGACGTCACATTAACCATCCCACTAACCGTCCTGACGTCACACTTACCGTCAGGAGCTTTGGGAACTTGGCGAACCGAAACTGTTTCTTGTAGGCTTCCACCAGGTCCAGGGACGTGTTTTCATTGGTCCAGATGGGCACGACAAGCCCGGAGAATCGGTCAAGGTTAAAGACGAGGGGGGGCACGTAGGTGACCTGGCGGGCGATGTCCCCGTACACGCCCAGCAGCACCACCACCACGGGCACCGCCAGCAGCAGACACGACGACAGCGGGTTACGCCGGAACAGGGTCAACTTCTTGATGAAAATTCCCTTCAACTGCTGGAAGAAGAGGGTAGCTCTTTCGTTGTTTTTAGACTCCATAAATTTCCCGAACAGTTTTTCTGTGGATCCATAATTCCATTCACAATTTGTTGGGCGGCGCGAGCTCATGACATACAAAGTTATACATCTACACACTGTGTCACGGGATATAACTAATTTAACATTTACACACTGTGTCACGGGATATAAACAATCTAACATCTACACACTTTGACATTGGAGATCAGTACACATTGCCACGCTAAAAGTACAAGAAGTTTATAATGAAACCCACCTGACGCTAGCAGATCTATAGAGAATTTTAAGGTCGATCTCTCTCTGTAAAGATGACAGTAATATCATATTTAAGTTAGAGCTCTCTAGGGAATTTTTTTGTGAGGGGTTGGGGGGGGGGCTGTGGTGGGGAGGGGGGGGGGGTAGTTGTGGGCGGAGGCTGTGGACGGGGAATCCAGCAGCAAAGTCTGCCAACAAACACAGTCAAACGTAGTCAAACACAGCACTGTCAGCTGATGTCATTGTGTCAGCTGATGTCATTGTGTCAGCTGATGTCATTGTGTCAGTCAGCTGATGTTATTGTGTCAGCTGATGTCATTGTGTCAGTCAGCTGATGTCATTGTGTCAGTCAGCTGATGTCATTGTGTCAGCTGATGTCATTGTGTCAGTCAGCTGTTAGTAGCTGTTACCGTCCTGACTACAACGACAGACCAGAGCCTGCGACTTAACATGTAGTTGATGTAGACCAAAAAAATCTGTAGTCACGTGATAAGGTTCTGGGTCCTGTGCTTGGCCCGTCTCTTTCAAAGACTTACCTGATACCGTGTCTTTCAAAGACTTACCTGATACCGTGTCTTTCAACGACTTACCTGATACCGTGTCTTTCAAAGACTTACCTGATACTTTCTTCGATGACGTCTTCCGCTCTCTCTCCCGCACCTACTCTAGGAAAAGATGGAAACACGATATTATATCCACCGATATAATACTATATAACGACATCGAAACACAAGCACAACACAAATGCAACACACAAATACAAACGTAACGCAAACACAAATAAAAACGCAAACAAACGCAAACGCATAATCAAACAAAAATGCAAACACAACGCAAACGCAGACACAAAGGCAAACAGAAAAACACAAGCGCAAACACAAGCACAACTTGACACGAAAACGCAAACACAAATACAAACACACACACACAAACGCAAAAAGACGCAACGCAAACTCAAACAAAAACGCAAACACAACAAAACAGAAAAAAGCGTAAACAAACGCAAACTCCAACGAAAAAGCGAACACAAAGCAAACGCATTCACAACGCACACGTAAACGTAAACGCAAAACGGAAACGCAAAAAATTACAATCACAAAAGAAAACAGAAACACAAACTCAAAAACGCAAACTCAATCTCAAACACAAACACTTTATCAAATTACGCTCTCCCTGATGTCCGCACTCAAAGAGAGCCTTGTCTACAGAGTTTCTTACAGGCATATCTTCGGGGGGCTTTTTCTAAGCATATGAGCGAAAATATTGTTTGACATGTGCGTGTATTTAAAATTTTCTTCACGTTCTTTGTTGATGTATGCAAAAGCTTTGCCGACCATAAAAAAATTTAAGTCGTTTATAAATAAACCCTACTCCATTACTTATAATAAGACACCTGTATGCGAGTAAAATCACGGCAATCGGTGTGAACTTTTATGGTTCAAAAAAATCTACAGCGATGTCGGAAGGACGGTCGGAAGGACGATGTCGGAAGGACGGAAGGAATAAATGACTGACACACTACCTAGCCGATTATATTATAGATGACACAATATAATAATATATACACCAATACAATATTTTGTAACGACGCAATATATATATATATATATATATATATATATATATATATATATATATATATATATATATATATATATATATATATATATATATATCATCATTCCTTTGTGGCCCCTGGGGAGCAAAGGGCTGCAACCACACATCTCCAGCGGACTCGGTTTTGGGCTGACCCCTTTATCTGTGCCCATGTGTGCCCAGCTGCTTTCGCATATTCTTCTATATATTATATATACCAATACAATATTATATAAGGATACAAAGACATCAAACAGCCTAGCCTACCTAACTTCACAAAGACGTCAAATAGCCTAGCCTGCCTTACTTCACAAAGATGTCAAATAGCCTAGCCTACCTTACTTCACAAAGACGTCAAATATCCTAGCCTGCCTTACTTCACAAAGACGTCAAATAGCCTAGCCTGCCTTACTTCACAAAGACGTCCTCCATGGATGTGGCACTCAGGCCGTAGCCCAAGATGTTGAGTCTCATGGCCTGGTCCTCCAGCACCTCCAGCAGAGCCGGGTACTGATGTTCTTTGTTCTCTGGTAGCACGTAGTCGATCTCTGATCTAGTTTCACCCTAGGTAAACACACAAACACACGTAGTCGATCTCTGATCTAGTTTCACCCTAGGTAAACACGAACACACGTAGTCGATCTCTGATCTAGTTTCACCCTAGGTAAACACGAACACACGTAGTCGATCTCTGATCTAGTTTCATCCTAGGTAAACACGAACACACGTAGTCGATCTCTGATCTAGTTTCACCCTAGGTAAACACGAACACACGTAGTCGATCTCTGATCTAGTTTCACCCTAGGTAAACACGAACACACGTAGTCGATCTCTGATCTAGTTTCACCCTAGGTAAACACACAAACACACGTAGTCGATCTCTGATCTAGTTTCACCCTAGGTAAACACACAAACACACAAACACACGTAGTCGATCTCTGATCTAGTTTCACCCTAGGTAAACACACAAACACACAAACACACGTAGTCGATCTCTGATCTAGTTTCACCCTAGGTAAACACACAAACACACGTAGTCGATCTCTGATCTAGTTTCACCCTAGGTAAACACACAAACACACGTAGTCGATCTCTGATCTAGTTTCACCCTAGGTAAACACACAAACACACAAACACACGTAGTCGATCTCTGATCTAGTTTCACCCTAGGTAAACACACACACAAACACACGTAGTCGATCTCAGATCTAGTTTCACCCTAGGTAAACACACACAAACCTACCTGTATATATATATGTATATATGACTACTTAGAATATCTTCTCAAACCCAATCACCGAAGAGATCATACTCGAACAAAGATCTGACCAAAGATCTGACCAAAGATCTGACCACAGACGATATAGCCTCTGATGACTCACCGTGCAGATGGCGTCAGGCAGGTGTTCAAGAATCTCCATGGTAACACTGTCCCTCCTACAGCCCTCGTCTTTTACAATGCGCAGCTTATAGCCTGTACCTAAAGTATGTACCACAGAGCGAGATTTGAGACTGGATTATCGGACGGGAACCAAGGTTCGCCATACAGCCTTGGTAGACATCATTAAGTACAGAAGGCATCGCCAATTTTACTCAACGTTCATATTTTTTTTTTTGTATTTTAAAATGTACATTTTAAGCCAGCAAAACTTAGATTAAAACAAATTTACAGCAGTGTTTTTAAAGAGTGTGTGCTACAACACTGAACCATCTAATTTACTCACGATAAACTCTCATTAAAAACATGAGTGTGCTACAACACCGAACCATCTAATTTACTCACCATAAACTCTCTCTAAAAACAAGGGTTGCTACAACACTGAACCATCTAATTTACTCACCATTAACTCTCTTTAAAAACATGAGTGTGCTACAACACTGAACCATCTAATTTACTCACCATAAACCCTCTTTAAAAACAAGGGTTGCTACAACACTGAACCATCTAATTTACTCACCATAAACTCTCTTTAAAAACATGGGTGTGCCGCAGCATTTAACTCTCCCCTCCGCCATGATGGCGATTCTGTCGCCCAGTACATCTGCCTCGTCCATGTAATGGGTCGTTAAAAGGATGGTTCGACCTTCTCTCATTTTCTTTAGGAAAGCCCACATTTCCTGTCTGGCGGCGGGGTCAAGGCCGGTCGATGGCTCGTCCAGAAACACCAGCTGTGTAATGGCAAAAATTAGAATAAAAAAGCAACGAAACAATTGCAACTCCACAACAAAGAAAAAAATAATCACCAACATTACTCCCGTCCCTCCAACAAAAGCACCGATATTACCTCCGTCCCTCCAACAAAAGCACCAACATTACCTCCGTCCCTCCAACAAAAGCACCAACATTACCTCCGTCCCTCCAACAAAAGCACCAACATTACCTCCGTCCCTCCAACAAAAGCACCAACATTACCTCCGTCCCTCCAACAAAAGCACCACCATTACCTCCGTCCCTCCAACAAAAGCACCAACATTACCTCCGTCCCTCCAACAAAAGCACCAACATTACCTCCGTCCCGCCAACAAAAGCACCACCATTACCTCCGTCCCTCCAACAAAAGCACCACCATTACCTCCGTCCCTCCAACAAAAGCACCACCATTACCTCCGTCCCTCCAACAAAAGCACCAACATTACCTCCGTCCCTCCAACAAAAGCACCAACATTACCTCCGTCCCGCCAACAAAAGCACAGGCTAGAGACAGTTTCCGCTGCTGACCGCCTGAGATGGTTGAGGACTGGGAGAGTTTTTCCCCCCCTAGACCAATCAGATCCAGATCTTTGTAAATCTCTTCATCACCTTCGGCAGAGTATTTGCCCTTGAGCTGATGAGTAAATCACATTACTCGTATCAAAGGTGGACTAGACGGACCTTAATATTTGAAGTGTGTGACAGGTAGGTTTACGTAGATGTTTGTTGTGTGACAGGTAGGTTTACCCAGATGTTTGTGTGACAGGTAGGTTTACCCAGATGTTTGTGTGACAGGTAGGTTTACCCAGATGTTTGTGTGACAGGTAGGTTTACCCAGATGTTTGTGTGACAGGTAGGTTTACCCAGATGTTTGTGTGACAGGTAGGTTTACCCAGATGTTTGTGTGACAGGTAGGTTTACCCAGATGTTTGTGTGACAGGTAGGTTTACCCAGATGTTTGTGTGACAGGTAGGTTTACCCAGATGTTTGTGTGACAGGTAGGTTTACCCAGATGTTTGTGTGACAGGTAGGTTTACTTAGATGTTTGTGTGACAGGTAGGTTTACCCAGATGTTTGTGTGACAGGTAGGTTTACCTAGATGTTTGTGTGACAGGTAGGTTTACCCAGATGTTTGTGTGACAGGTAGGTTTACCCAGATGTTTGTGTGACAGGTAGGTTTACCCAGATGTTTGTTGTGTGACAGGTAGGTTTACTTAGATGTTTGTGTGACAGGTAGGTTTACCCAGATGTTTGTGTGACAGGTAGGTTTACCTAGATGTTTGTGTGACAGGTAGGTTTACCCGGATGTTTGTGTGACAGGTAGGTTTACCCAGATGTTTGTGTGACAGGTAGGTTTACCTAGATGTTTGTGTGACAGGTAGGTTTACCTAGATGTTTGTGTGACAGGTAGGTTTACCCAGATGTTTGTGTGACAGGTAGGTTTACCCAGATGTTTGTGTCACAGGTAGGTTTACCCAGATGTTTGTGTGACAGGTAGGTTTACCTAGATGTTTGTGTGACAGGTAGGTTTACCCAGATGTTTGTGACAGGTAGGTTTACCCAGATGTTTGTGTGACAGGTAGGTTTACCCAGATGTTTGTTGTGTGACAGGTAGGTTTACCCAGATGATTGTGTGACAGGTAGGTTTACCCAGATGTTTGTGTGACAGGTAGGTTTACCCAGATGTTTGTTGTGTGACAGGTAGGTTTACCTAGATGTTTGTGTGACAGGTAGGTTTACCTAGATGTTTGTGTGACAGGTAGGTTTACCTAGATGTTTGTTGTGTGACAGGTAGGTTTACCCAGATGTTTGTTGTGTGACAGGTAGGTTTACCCAGATGTCTGTTGTGTGACAGGTAGGTTTACCCAGATGTTTGTGTGACAGGTAGGTTTACCCAGATGTTTGTGTGACAGGTAGGTTTACCCAGATGTTTGTTGTGTGACAGGTAGGTTTACCCAGATGTTTGTGTGACAGGTAGGTTTACCCAGATGTTTGTGTGACAGGTAGGTTTACCCAGATGTTTGTTGTGTGACAGGTAGGTTGACCTAGATGTTTGTGTGACAGGTAGGTTTACCTAGATGTTTGTTGTGTGACAGGTAGGTTTACCCAGATGTTTGTTGTGTGACAGGTAGGTTTACCCAGATGTTTGTTTCAGATGTTTGTGTGACAGGTAGGTTTACCCAGATGTTTGTGTGACAGGTAGGTTTACCCAGATGTTTGTGTGACAGGTAGGTTTACCCAGATGTTTGTGTGACAGGTAGGTTTACCCAGATGTTTGTGTGACAGGTAGGTTTACCCAGATGTTTGTGTGACAGGTAGGTTTACCCAGATGTTTGTGTGACAGGTAGGTTTACCCAGATGTGTGTGTGACAGGTAGGTTTACCTAGATGTTTGTGTGACAGGTAGGTTTACCCAGATGTTTGTGTGACAGGTAGATTTACCCAGATGTTTGTTGTGTGACAGGTAGGTTTACCTAGATGTTTGTGTGACAGGTAGGTTTACCCAGATGTTTGTGTGACAGGTAGGTTTACCTAGATGTTTGTGTGACAGGTAGGTTTACCCGGATGTTTGTGTGACAGGTAGGTTTACCCAGATGTTTGTGTGACAGGTAGGTTTACCTAGATGTTTGTGTGACAGGTAGGTTTACCTAGATGTTTGTGTGACAGGTAGGTTTACCCAGATGTTTGTGTGACAGGTAGGTTTACCCAGATGTTTGTGTCACAGGTAGGTTTACCCAGATGTTTGTGTGACAGGTAGGTTTACCTAGATGTTTGTGTGACAGGTAGGTTTACCCAGATGTTTGTGTGACAGGTAGGTTTACCCAGATGTTTGTGTGACAGGTAGGTTTACCCAGATGTTTGTTGTGTGACAGGTAGGTTTACCCAGATGATTGTGTGACAGGTAGGTTTACCCAGATGTTTGTGTGACAGGTAGGTTTACCCAGATGTTTGTTGTGTGACAGGTAGGTTTACCTAGATGTTTGTGTGACAGGTAGGTTTACCTAGATGTTTGTGTGACAGGTAGGTTTACCTAGATGTTTGTTGTGTGACAGGTAGGTTTACCCAGATGTTTGTTGTGTGACAGGTAGGTTTACCCAGATGTCTGTTGTGTGACAGGTAGGTTTACCCAGATGTTTGTGTGACAGGTAGGTTTACCCAGATGTTTGTGTGACAGGTAGGTTTACCCAGATGTTTGTGTGACAGGTAGGTTTACCCAGATGTTTGTTGTGTGACAGGTAGGTTTACCCAGATGTTTGTGTGACAGGTAGGTTTACCCAGATGTTTGTGTGACAGGTAGGTTCACCCAGATGTTTGTTGTGTGACAGGTAGGTTGACCTAGATGTTTGTGTGACAGGTAGGTTTACCTAGATGTTTGTTGTGTGACAGGTAGGTTTACCCAGATGTTTGTTGTGTGACAGGTAGGTTTACCCAGATGTTTGTTTCAGATGTTTGTGTGACAGGTAGGTTTACCCAGATGTTTGTGTGACAGGTAGGTTTACCTAGATGTTTGTGTGACAGGTAGGTTTACCCAGATGTTTGTGTGACAGGTAGGTTTACCCAGATGTTTGTGTGACAGGTAGGTTTACCTAGATGTTTGTGTGACAGGTAGGTTTACCCAGATGTTTGTGTGACAGGTAGGTTTACCTAGATGTTTGTGTGACAGGTAGGTTTACCTGGATGTTTGTCGTGTGTGATAGGTAAGTTTACCTTGAGAAAGAACTTGAGATGCTCATAGCAGGTGAGCTTAGGGAAGAGGACCCCGTGTTGTGGGCACAGACCGATAAACTCCCTGGCCTCGCTCGTGTTGGTAGCGAGGTCGTGACCTTGAACTGTGGTTGTTCCACTTGTAGGAGGCAGAAAACCTGACAAGAAACATGACACAAATATTCCCCTAACAAGAAACATGACACAAATATTCCCCTGACAAGAAACATGACACAAATATTCCCCTGACAAGAAACATGACACAAATATTCCCCTGACAAGAAACATGACACAAATATTCCCCTAACAAGAAACATGACACAAATATTCCCCTAACAAGAAACATGACACAAATATTCCCCTAACAAGAAACATGACACAAATATTCCACTGACAAGAAACATGACACAAATATTCCCCTGACAAGAAACATGACACAAATATTCCCCTGACAATAAACATGACACAAATATTCCACTGACAAGAAACATGACACAAATATTCCCCTGACAAGAAACATGACACAAATATTCCCCTGACAAGAAACATGACACAAATATTCCCCGGCAGGAAACCTGATAAGAAACATGACACAAATATTCCCCTGACAAGAAACATGACACAAATATTCCCCTGACAAGAAACATGACACAAATATTCCCCTGACAAGAAACATGACACAAATATTCCCCTGACAAGAAACATGACACAAATATTCCCCTGACAAGAAACATGACACAAATATTCCCGTGACAAGAAACATGACACAAATATTCCCCTGACAAGAAACATGACACAAATATTCCCCTGACAAGAAACATGACACAAATATTCCCCTGACAAGAAACATGACACAAATATTCCCCTGACAAGAAACATGACACAAATATTCCCCTGACAAGAAACATGACACAAATATTCCCCTGACAAGAAACATGACACAAATATTCCCCTGACAAGAAACATGACACAAATATTCCCCTGACAAGAAACATGACACAAATATTCCCCTGACAAGAAACATGACACAAATATTCCCCTGACAAGAAACATGACACAAATATTCCCCTGACAAGAAACATGACACAAATATTTCCCTGACAAGAAACATGACACAAATATTCCCCTGACAAGAAACATGACACAAATATTCCCCTGACAAGAAACATGACACAAATATTCCCCTGACAAGAAACATGACACAAATATTCCCCTGACAAGAAACATGACACAAATATTCCCCTGACAAGAAACATGACACAAATATTCCCCTGACAAGAAACATGACACAAATATTCTGGTTAAGAAAAAGAGAAGCTTGGGAATAATGTGTTTTCTTATCCACAGTCAAACGGCAGATAAGAGGTAGTTTCTCGACAACCTGTGATCATGTTGATGGTAGTTGTCTTCCCTGCCCCGTTATGCCCCAGCAGCACGGTGATCTGCCCCATGTAGAGGTCCATGTTGACCCCAGCTACAGCTATATGTTGACCAAACACCTGCAACAAAATTTGACCCCATCAGAACTAAAACTACACCCATAACCCACCCTGACTTATAAATCGATATATCAATTAGACATACGGCTCCCACACACTCCCCGTTACATATTTCCAAATACACGCATACAAATAATGCACAAAGTCTCATTTATATGTATCTCACATTTTTAAGAGACCAGTCGACATATGCTCTATATGGGATTTCATCTGGCGCCGTAAAAACACATAACCCTACCCATATTTGACATAACGTCACAGAAACCTACCTGTATACTCCTTAACGATACACAAACTACCTGTATACTCCTTAACGATACACAAAGTACCTGTATACTCCTTAACGATACACAAACCTACCTGTGTACTACTTAACCATTCACAAACCTACCTGTACACTCCTTAACGATACACAAACCTACCTGTGTACTCCTAACGATACACAAACCTACCTGTATACTCCTTAACGATACACAAACCTACCTGTGTACTCCTAACGATACACAAACCTACCTGTATACTCCTTAACGATACACAAACCTACCTGTATACTCCTTAACGATACACAAACCTACCTGTATACTCCTTAACGATACACAAACCTACCTCTAACGATACACAAACCTACCTGTAACGATACACAAACCTACCTGTAACGATACACAAACCTACCTGTAACGATACACAAACTTACCTGTATACTCCTTAACGTCACACAAACCTACCTGTATACTCCTTAACGATACACAAACCTACCTGTATACTCCTTAACGATACACAAACCTACCTGTAACGATACACAAACCTACCTGTATACTCCTTAACGATACACAAACCTACCTGTATACTCCTTAACGATACACAAACCTACCTGTATACTCCTTAACGATACACAAACCTACCTGTATACTCCTTAACGATACACAAACCTACCTGTATACTCCTTAACGATACACAAACCTACCTGTATACTCCTTAACGATACACAAACCTACCTGTACACTCCTTAACGATACACAAACCTACCTCTAACGATACACAAACCTACCTGTAACGATACACAAACCTACCTGTAACGATACACAAACCTACCTGTAACGATACACAAACTTACCTGTATACTCCTTAACGTCACACAAACCTACCTGTATACTCCTTAACGATACACAAACCTACCTGTATACTCCTTAACGATACACAAACCTACCTGTAACGATACACAAACCTACCTGTATACTCCTTAACGATACACAAACCTACCTGTATACTCCTTAACGATACACAAACCTACCTGTATACTCCTTAACGATACACAAACCTACCTGTATACTCCTTAACGATACACAAACCTACCTGTATACTCCTAACGACATGTAACCCTACCTTGACCAGGTTGCGGACCTTGATGCCAGCGGTCAGCCCTGCAGGCGGGTCCTCAATGTAGTTCGGTTCTCTGCAGGCATGTCTGGGATCTGCTGGTGGACGTCTGGCGGGAACCAGTAGCTTTTCTGTGGACCATTCGATTCTCCTCACACCCGTGTTGGCAGTGGGGATCGTTTTAGTTTACAGACTCGGTTGTCCAACAGAAATTGTGTCGTTTGGGATAGTTTGTAGTTTTACGTTTTGTTTGCAGTTAGCATTTGGTCCGCCTGGTACATCCTCTCCCACTCACACACGAACCCCTCAGCTGCGAAACTTTTGCTCACCCTCCACCCTCCTGTTACCTCCCCACCCTCAGGCTGAACCTACACCATGTCATAATATTTTTTTATCATTAGTCAGCATGCTACAATGTTGTATCCTTCTGCACAGGAAAAGATAGCAACCACAACGACAACCCCCCCCCCACCCCCCTATTTTAAGTGAAGCAAACAAGCAATGTCTCACCGAGAAAAGGAAATCATAAGGCTGCGGTATGCCATACTCCCCAGGGGTGACGTTGCTGAGGTACCACAGGCAGAAGATGTTGAAGCCGGTGTTGAGGACCATCAAAACAAGCCCGTCAAAGAACGTTTGGTGTGGGGCCTCGTCATTGAGGAACATGGAGTAGAACCCTAGTCTGTGGGCTGGAGGGAGAGCTCATCATTTAGTGAGAGCGTCTTTGGGGAGCCAAAACTTTGAAGTAAAGAAAACTGGACTACAGTTTCAAATAGGAGAAATAGCGTAACACAGATCCTCAGTGTACGTTAATCACACGCCGCAGGGGTGAGGTAGACTAATCACACGCCGCAAGGGTGAGGTAGACTAACCACACGCCGCATGGGTGAGGTAGACCAAAAAAAAAGACAGATTAAATAAGTAATATATAGTTAAATACAAAAACTTACCTTTCAATTCTTTGGCGACCAACACGTCTATTTCAACAGCGAAACCAAAGTAGTAGACGGCCACGCCCACCAAGTACAGCTGCAGCCTGTTAGTCACGTACGGGAGGAGAGCGGTGGAGCCCAGCCCAATTCCGATATACACCACCACAGTCAGGGCTGCCGCGTTCCGACCTGCGGAACACGATACGGAACATGATGCGGAACACGATACGGAACACGATACGGAACATGATGTTGGCTGTTGTGTACACCAGCAAACACAGGCTCAATCTTCATAGGCCACTAGATCAAACCTTACCAAAGTTTGTATGTTTACCTGACTAATGTGTGTATGTTTACCTGACTAAAGTTTGTATGTTTACCTGACTAATGTGTGTATGTTTACCTGACTAAAGTTTGTATGTTTACCTGACTAAAGTGTGTATGTTTACCTGACTAATGTGTGTATGTTTACCTGACTAAAGTTTGTATGTTTACCTGACTAGAGTTTGTATGTTTACCTGACTAAAGTTTGTATGTTTACCTGACTAAAGTGTGTATGTTTACCTGACTAAAGTGTGTATGTTTACCTGACTAAAGTTTGTATGTTTACTTGACCAAAGTTTGTATGTTTACCTGACTAAAGTGTGTATGTTTACCTGACTAAAGTGTGTATGTTTACCTGACTAATGTGTGTATGTTTACCTGACTAAAGTTTGTATGTTTACCTGACTAAAGTTTGTATGTTTACCTGACTAAAGTTTGTATGTTTACCTGACTAAAGTGTGTATGTTTACCTGACTAAAGTTTGTATGTTTACCTGACTAAAGTTTGTATGTTTACCTGACCAAAGTGTGTATGTTTACCTGACTAAAGTTTGTATGTTTACCTGACCAAAGTGTGTATGTTTACCTGACTAAAGTGTGTATGTTTACCTGACTAAAGTGTGTATGTGTACCTGACTAAAGTGTGTATGTTTACCTGACTAAAGTGTGTATGTTTACCTGACTAAAGTTTGTATGTTTACCTGACTAAAGTGTGTATGTTTACCTGACTAAAGTTTGTATGTTTACCTGACCAAAGTGTGTAAGTTTACCTGACTAAAGTTTGTATGTTTACCTGACTAAAGTGTGTATGTTTACCTGACCAAAGTGTGTATGTTTACCTGACTAAAGTTTGTATGTTTACCTGACTAAAGTTTGTATGTTTACCTGACTAAAGTTTGTATGTTTACCTGACTAAAGTGTGTATGTTTACCTGACTAAAGTGTGTATGTTTACCTGACTAAAGTGTGTATGTTTACCTGACTAAAGTTTGTATGTTTACCTGACTAAAGTTTGTATGTTTACCTGACTAAAGTGTGTATGTTTACCTGACCAAAGTGTGTATGTTTACCTGACTAAAGTTTGTATGTTTACCTGACTAAAGTTTGTATGTTTACCTGACTAAAGCTTGTATGTTTACCTGCCTAAAGTTTGTATGTTTACCTGACTAAAGTGTGTATGTTTACCTGACTAAAGTGTGTAAGTTTACCTGACTAAAGTTTGTATGTTTACCTGACTAAAGTGTGTAAGTTTACCTGACTAAAGTTTGTATGTTTACCTGACTAAAGTGTGTATGTTTACCTGACTAAAGTTTGTTTTGTTTACCTGACTAAAGTTTGTTTTCTTTACCTTTGTTTATGACCGTAGAGAAGACACAGGCAGCTGATATAGTGTTGCCGACAAACACCATCTCCATTAGAAAAAAGATGATGGGGGAGGCAAGTAGCACCGCACCCTGGGCCGAGTACCCCACGTACATGACGCAGACGCCCATGAGAGCGATGACCGTCCCAGTTGTTGTGCTGACCACAAACCACGACAGCCAGTAGATAGACTCGCTCAGTCCCATCAGCTTCATCGACTCCTGGGAGACAGGCTCTGATTGTTTCAGTAGGTCATTTCGTCAGCGTTAAATGACGTCAAGGTCTTATGACGTCAAGGTCTTATGGCGTCATGGTCTTATGGCGTCATGGTCTTATGGCGTCATGGTCTCATTATGGACAGGTAGCAGGACAGAGACTAACATAAATATATCTGGAGAAGGACAAGACAAGATTCCAGCAGGACAGAGACTAACATAAATATATCTGGAGAAGGACAAGACAAAATTCCAGCAGGACAGAGACTAACATAAATATATCTGGAGAAGGACAAGACAAGATTCCAGCAGGACAGAGCCTAACATAAATATATCTGGAGAGGGACAAGACAAGATTCCAGCAGGACAGAGCCTAACATAAATATATCTGGAGAAAGACAAGATTCCAGCAGGACAGAGACTAACATAAATATATCTGGAGAGGGACAAGACAAGATTCCAGCAGGACAGAGCCTAACATAAATATATCTGGAGAAAGACAAGATTCCAGCAGGACAGAGACTAACATAAATATATCTGGAGAAGGACAAGACAAGATTCCAGCAGGACAGAGCCTAACATAAATATATCTGGAGAAAGACAAGATTCCAGCAGGACAGAGACTAACATAAATATATCTGGAGAAGGACAAGACAAGATTCCATGCCAGTACAGATAAGGAGCAGAACGTGGCGCTGGGTAGGACACACACTTGGACAGGCAGACACACATGTGACACGCCAGGCGCTTGACGGGAACCCCTAGGGAAGATG